CTCTCAACTTCTCTTCCGATCTGAGAGAAGTTCGGGAGCGGCGCGCGGGAGCGGCGCGGGCTGGGGCGCGGGGCGCAGGTAACGCGCCGCTGTCGGGCCGGCCGGCTGGCGGGGCTCTGGAGCCCGGCGAGGGGCGGCGGCGGCGGCGGTGGTGGGACATCCCCGCCGCCGCTCTGCCTGTCCGGGTATCGCCCCGAGCGGGCTCTCCCGGGGTGCCGCTTTGGCTGGCGGGGTGAGAGGAGAACCCTCTGAAGGGGCCGTGGGTCCGGGCCGGCCTGCGGGACCGCCACGGGCGGGCAGTGCCGGACCCGGCGACCCGAGGCGGGAGCCCGGGCGGGCGCCGCGGGGGGCAAGCGAAGGGGTCCTCTCGCGCGCCCGCCCCTCCGGAGGCGCCGGGGCTGGGCTGGGGGCGCTCCGGTGCCCGGGGCGGGCCGGCCGCCCAAGCCCCGGTCTCCTTTGTGTGGAGCGCCGCGGCGGGAGCGCCCGGGTGGGACGGGACGCACACAAGTTGGTGGGACCTCGGCGCCGAGTGCGCACTCAGACAAAGGACGGACTGTGTCTCGGGGGAGCTCGGCGCGAGGAAGGGGCAGTGACACCGGGGCCTGACAGCGGGCGGGAGAGTGGCGTGGGGAGCGGCGGCCGCGGTGCAGCGGGCGGGCTCGGCTCCACGCCCCCTCCCCGTGAGGGCGCAGGCTCGGCCGGGGCCGCGGGGGCCGGGACGGCGCGCGGAGACTGGACTCCGAGCGGCCGCGCGTCTGACATTTCCCCGGAAAGCAGCCCCGGAGCTCCTCGTCTCCACCCGCTCGGACCAGGCGGTCCCGGCAGCCTTCGCCTTCTCGGCGGGCTTTCTGTTAAGTTTGAGGGAAGGGTCTCGCTGTTCTCCCCCTTCCCGGTTTTGTTCGTTTCGGAGGGCTTTCCGTCGAGTTCCCGCGTCATTGTGGCACCCCTCCCCCCCGCCCACCCAAAAGTCGGTGCCACAGGGTCACTTTTTGAAAAATGGGAGGAATGAGAAGCACGATATTTTGGAAAACTTGGTGAACTCATGCCTGGTGAGTCCCCACTTTCTAAAGAATCATAATCTTTAAAAAAAAAATTACAGGCTGTTTCGGCCAACTTGTGTGATACAGCTGAGACTGGCGACAGGTGCTAACGAAATCAGCTGTCATTTAGCAAGCGATTATTCCCCAAATCCCTAGGGGATGAATGAGGATGAGATGGTAGAAAGAGTTGATCACAAGAAAATGTTTATGACAAACGTGTGTTTAGGTGGTATGGTTAGCAATTTCTCATTAATTGGTCTTGTTTTCCGTGAACAATAGCTTTGTTGAGTCAGAAAAGGCTGGCTGCAGAAATGTTTGTTGCCTAAGAAATCGAATGTGTGCTGTCCACAGTTAAGTTAAACTTCCTTTGTTTGTCACACAGGATCTGTAAAATTTAAATTCATTTGGGAATAAAAATGTGTCTTTGGTATTTAAAAATATTTTACTACCGGGTTTACTTGCTGGGTTTGAAAGGTCATTATCAGCTTAGTTTTATGGCGTTTCAGTGTCACATAAAACAACATTTAAAACAATATTTTAAAAAATCTTTAAAAAACACTAATGCTGACACAGTTGACTGTAATCTATACTTCTAGGGGGTTTTGAGATTGGGTGGGATCCTAACCGTTAGACCACCAGGGAGCTAGGGGGGTCCTGGAGTTTGTTTTCCATTACTCTTCATACATGACCATTAGCAATTATTTTATGTTTGGGAATAAAATGTAGAACAAGTGTGTAATCCTAACTAGTTTATTGATCATTTTATTTGCAAGAAAATGAAAGTATTTAAGATGTATTTTAATTTCCTTTTCATATTCCCTAAAGATAGGAATAGATAGGATGCTAGTCCTAGATATAAAGAATCCCATTCTCTCTTTTTGGAGGTGTGTTAGAGAATGTAATGTTTAAAGTCCTGGAAGCACTTAGGAAAATGGCATCTTAAATTCTAATTTTTGTGGAAAGTGAACATATTCAAAGAAAAGGAATTTAGAAACACATAGACACTCTTCTGATTTGCATTATTCTATCTGATGATCTAATGTACAACCTACTATCTTGTGGTTTCATAAAAATGGAGACAAAGAAATGCATTGTAAAAGTCTTTATTACATATTTTGCAGTGTTGGACACCACTGAACAGACATTCCAGGTGCTGTTCCTAAGTATTGTTTACATTTATATTAGTTGCTGGTAATTATATATTAAAAAGTCTTGCCCATTGCTATGAGATGAACTAGTTACGCAGATTTTGGCAGAAATTTGGATCTTTTAGGATATAAAATTCCAGTTTTTCCCTTGCGTACACTGTATTTGATAATTACTATCATTGTACTTGCCACAAGATTTTTTTTTAAGTTTTTTTTGGGAATTGGTTTTAAATTTTTTCTATTTGAATTGAGAATGTTTAGTTTAAGTAGCAGTGATTAAAAAAACACACTTGTTGATTTAGTGTAATTAGGCAAAAAAAGAAAAAAGCTCTAATACTTTTATACCAGCTTTGCCTTGCATGCGTACGTATGTGATTATCTTTGTGTTGGCCGCTTAAATTTTTAGGCACATTTCCCCAGCTCACCCTGAGGTTTTCCAGGATATCCTCCATCCTTTGAGCTGGCATGCTCAAAGAGTGTGAATTAGGTTCTGTCTTGGCCTTAAAAAGTGATTAAGAAAATTGATCTGCTTTTAAAGGACTAACAGCAAGGAAAAATCTGCTTCTCAGCGGATCTAATGTCTTTTGGGGTCAATTAGAAATGATTTATGGATTTGCCTTGAAGTCTTTTTGTCCGTAGAAATGAAGAAAACATTTTCTGTGAATGATGAAGAATTCTAGATGGGCAGGTGAAATCTTCAGTTTGGAGGAGAGCAGGAGAGGAACAGCTCATTAAGTTCAGAGAAAGCTTCACTTGCTAGAGGCCTTCCCTGTGTCTGCAAAGGCTTTGTTCAAACCTTTATTGTAGCATGTATCCAATTGTATTGTAATCACTTGCTGGTGCCTCCGACTCCTTCACTACACTCTTAAGTGCCTTGAGTCAGAAGCTCTGTCTTACTTTTCTTTGTATACCTGGTAGTTGCTAGAGAGTAGGTGTTAATAGTTGAACGAATGAAGGAAATCCAACAAATGTAGGGAAATAATTTGACAAAGGAACTTGCATAGGAAACAGGATATATTCATATTTATGTTGTGAGGAACTTTGGAAGGTGTTTTTCTCCCTCTTTGAGAGGCAGTGGTTATAAAGAAAAATAATTGTCAAGATGTACAAGTTTCAAGGTCTCTCCTAGTTATTAACACTCTGAGGTATTGAAAATTGGATATCCTTTCGGTGCAACTATTGGTTTTCATATTTGGTATTTCAGGCAGCTAGAGAGAAGCTTGATGGATCATCTGGCTACCTAGCATATAGTATCTGCTTAATTTGTGTTGAAATTGATAATTGTACAAAAATATAAGGGGCGAGTACATCTTTTAATCGAAAGGTGTCTAGTTACCATTAATGAGTTCTTTATTGAAATAATTTGAGGTAGGTTTTGAAGCTAAAACTGAAGGAAGTAGTGCCAGTGTAATTACAGATTATTTATTGGGATGTTCTTCATCATTCTTTTAAAATCATATGATAAATGTAGATTTGTAAATCCAATAATATCTCAAAAGGCATAGCTGAGAAATTTTTAAGATGGTTGCACTGTTTTATATCTTGCCACTGCACCACTACGTGGTGCATAAATATGACAGAAATGAAGTGAAAAAAAAAGACATTAATATTAAAGAGCCTACTATTGGCCAGATTCTTTATTCATTCATTCGTTTGTTTGGTTTGTTTGTTTTTATTGTGGTAACATTCACATCAGAGGCTTTGTTTTTAATTCTTGTAAAAACCACTTTGCATTCATCAACAGATGTTTGGATAAACAAAATATGGTGTATACATACAATGGAATGTTCAGCTATTGAAGGAATGACGTACTGACACATATTATAACATGGGTGAAACTTGACAATGTTATGCTAAGGAAAATAAGCCAGACACAGAAGGAAACAATTGTATGATTCCATTTATAGGAGGTACCTAGAACAGGCAAATTCAGAGACAGAAGGTAGAATAAGAGGTTACCAGGGGCAGAGGGGAGAGGGGAATGGGAAGTTAGTGTTTAATTGGGACAGAGTTGCTGTTTGGAAGGTGAAAAAGTTCTGGACGTGGAAGGTGGTAATGGCTGCACGACGTTTTGCATGTGTCTAATGCCACTGAATTGTGTGCTTAAAAATAGTTAAAATGGTAAGTTTTATATATGTTTTACCATAAAAAACGTTAACAATGACAACAACACACTCTGCAGACCTTTACAGATAAGGAAACTTTGATGTAGAGGGTTAAGAATTTGCCCAGGATTATCCAACTAGGAATTTGCAGTCAGGATCCAAACTTAGATTCTGTTTGGCTCCGTTTTATCTACTTTGTGTTATCTGCTGGTCTCCTGGATGATTGAAGACAGATTGGTTCCAAGAAGAGTGAGTTTATTTGAATCAATCAGAGAGTTATATTTAAAAGTAGATAATTGTAGGTTTATGGGATCTGATGCCCTAGACAAACTAAAAGATGTCTTTGTGGATTTCTTTTTAGCCGGAGCTGTACTAGTGTGCGCTCTGGGGGCAGTACAGATTTTGAGAGTGTGGTCTTTGGAGTCACGTTGCTTGGGTTCCAGTTCCCGAACTGCCAGTTTGTGTCACGTCACGTTGCCCTTGATGTCTAAGTTCCCTATCTGTAAATTGGTGGTCCTAATGATAACTACTCATTCCATAAGGTTGTTGAGAGGATTAAATGAGTTACTACATGTGAAGCCCTTAGAACTACAGCTGGCACAAATTGTTTGATAAGTGATTCTTAGTTATTGCACTAATATTGTTTATAAGAGTTGATGTACTTTCTCATTCATGGAACTAAACACTTCCCAAGCTTAAGTACGTGCTTAGAACCTGTATGTGAAGAAAACGGCGCCACGTACGCTTTTCATTTCTGTTGACTTCGAATTATATATTGATTAAAAACAGGTTATATGTGTTCAATTTAAAATACTGCTGAAAACAACGTAGACGTTTATATAGTGAAAATTTTCTTGATCCCTGTAACCCTATTCCCTACCCTTAACAGTTTGCTGTATATTCTTCCCAAACTTTCCAATGTATTCATATGAATATATATTAATACATGTATTTTACAAAAACAGTATCAAGTTATTTTGTTATGAAACATTTTTTTAGGTCAGTGCAGAGATCTGTTTCATTTTAAAAAGCTTGCTGTTTCTTTAAAGCTTGCTATGTGGTCAACACTGTTTTAAGTGCTTTCATTTATTTTACACAGACACTGTAATAACAAGAGATGGAGAGCTTAGGTAACTAGTTAGTGGTAGAGTACGGATTTGAATTTGGGCATTTGGGCTTCAAAGCCCTGATTTCTCAGCCTGGGGGGTGTGTGTGTGTGTGTGTTTGTTCTTTGTTTTCGTAAGGCCCTCGAGTTACCCATGATTTTAGCATTTCTTAAAAGAGTTGTAAAACAACAACACATACCCCAAAAGAATATGCAAGGCGACTGGATGTGGCCTGCCAAGCCTCAAAGCACTTAACCATGTGGCTGTTTGCAGAAGTTTTCTGCCCTCTGCTCTAAGCTCTCAGGCTGTTTTGTTATATGGGATACGCAGTATGCCGGCTTCTGTGCCGTCATGCAGTGAACCAGCCGTCTGTGTGGACGTTGTGCCCTCCCCGCAAGGAGGGAACATCCTTATGTAGCTTTGAACATTTGTGTGATGGCTTTCTATAGGGAGAATTGCTGGTTCAAGATTATGCACATTTCAAGTTTTAATAGATGTTGCCAAATCACTTTCTAGAGAGGTATCCATTTTTTAGTGTGCAAAATCAACTTTATTGAAGTGTAGTTTATATACATGAAAATGCACGTATTTGAAGGGTACAGTTGAAGAGTTTTGACAAATGTAACCATCTGTGTAACTGTCACCTCAAT